GACAGTTGCTCGACAACACCTGACAGGTGCACGTCTCACAGTGTCATGCGACTGTGATTGCGTAATCGATGCTTGTACTCATACTCTGTATTTTTTTTTTAACTTAAGAGTGTAGCTAATATTCTGAGTCAATTTTTTAACACTTAGCTGAATTCACACATTGAGGGACTTTGACTAAGTTTTTAAAAACTTAGTTAAATTTTACTCACTGAGGGACTTTAAATCAAAACTTTGGTCAAGTTCAGTTAAAAGATAACATAGATAGAGTATCTATAGCACACATAAAATATAAGTAAGACTCAGTATTATGAATTGCTAAAAGTATTTTTTATTTAAGAAATTTTACTTTTAGTTTTTAATTTTGAAAATTACAATTGACAAATCTCATTGTATAATTTTTTTTAAATATTAAAATATATATTTAAATTTATAATTCTGATTTAAATAACAGTTAGAACTTTGTATTAGAATTTGGCTAAGTGTTTAAAAAATGACTTGTATATATTTTTTTAATCAAAGTCCCTCAGTGTGTGAATTCGGCTAAATGTTTAAAAATTGACTCAGAATATTAGCTACACACCTAAGTTAAAAGAAATACAGAGTATGAGTACAAGCATTGATTACGTAACCAATTAATCCCATGACCCAACACGTGATTAGACAGCCTGGCAGCAGACAGCAATTAGTTTTGATTAGGGTCATTGGGTTACACTCACAGTCAGGTTCATAATCATAGTGCACGGCCAAGTTTGCGTACAAACCTCGCTCGATTTTATAAATAGATGTGGATTTTAAATGTTAATGAAGTTTTACAATGGTATTGAACATTAATATAGGCTTGTATTGGACGAGAGCCGGGTCTTAAAAAAGTGGCCAAAAAAAGAGCCATAAGAATAACATGGGTAAAAACGCCCCAAGTGCCGTTAAACCGGTATATTGTCACTACTCAGCATTCATGTTTTGATATGTTAGCCTAGTCACATGTTTCAAATTTAGTGTTATATATTTTTAATGAGTAAAGCATTTGTAGGTCTTACCTAGATTAAATATTTGAAAGAGAGATTTATATCAATTCCGTTTTATATTGTAATTTTTATATTTAATTTCATTTTTAATATTTTCAGTCAAAGTTGTATCACCATTACATATTTCGTTCTTTTGCAAACTATATAATTTTAATTAAAATTACTTCCTGAGTATATTAAATAAATCTGAGAGTATTTGATTGTGCAGAACAAATTCAATCATCGTGTACCATATTGTACAATATTTCAATAAATTGCAAGTCGAGAGTAGCAAAACATGTAATGGCAAGGCAAGGATGGCTTCAGCCAATCAGATTTCATCTTTGGTAGAATGTTCTGGAAGCTGATCTTCCGCATATATAAGCCCGGTGACCACGTGTCTCGGTCTTATTTCGTTGCTGTCTGATATGTTAATTAGTAAAAGTTTCAGCTGTGCCTTTTTATGGGATGTGTTTGGTTAAACCCCAAATTGGGTGAGTAAATCTATCTATATATTAATAGGCAAGCATGTTTCTTTAAAACCTTTTTTCTCAGCTCGTGTGCATCGTAGGGAAAATCTACGCATACCGTTAGAAAGCTATTTTCCTGTAGGTGTGCAGAATCCCTTTATAAATTAAAATAGGCTCAAAGATAAGCACAAAAAATGAGTTTAAAAATTTGAAAAAATTAACATGGATCATATGGGTTGCCATGCTGGTGACGAAATAACAACGAAATATAAACAGAAAATCAAAACAAATGGAAGAAACTCCAATCACATGTTTTATTTACAGTGTGGGGTGAAAATAGAGAAATCTGTACATTACATATTTTTGGTCGAGTTTCGACCACTGGACGACCTCTAGTTTATTTTATTAAGTAGGACTAAATTAATCTTGCCTTGCCAACCAATAGAATCATTTAAAGTAGTAAAAACCTTTTGTTAAAAAATTGTAAAACGTGAGAACTTGCTCAAAAATAAAAGTTTAATTCTGATTAATTATGTACTGTAAATCAATTTGGCTTTAAAAGAATTTTTAAAAAGAAACTATTAAACTAAATATCTAGAGAATATTAAATAAATTGTTTGTTTTCAGGGTTTTATTCTTATACTTCTATTTTGGTATCAATTTATGTATTTGGAAATGAGGATTTAATAAACCGAAGTATTATTCTATTTGAATGAAGAAGTTTTTATTTGATGATTCCAGAAGAAGAGTATTTATTTTATTTTATCAATGTAAATTTAAGTTGTACTGCAAAGTAGGAACAAGCGGTACAATCGATTTAGAGCATGGTCTCGGTAGAAGGGTAGGGTTGCAATAAAGTCTATGGGGATAGGCTTCCATTAAAGTTATAAACATTCATTTTAATAATACAAATCAAATAATCGACTCAGTAGTCGATTTGGCCCAGTTTGCCATTGAGCAATAAGGTGTGAGTCATTCACAGATCCACGAATAACCTCTTTTGTATCGTTTAATCAGCTGGCCAGTTGTTAATAAAATATCTTTTGGGAAGCCTGGTAGCTTAAAAAAACAGTAAATAAAATAATCCTAGGTTCCAGAGGCTCTGCACCTTCAATGTTACTAAAGAATAAGTGTCACTTCAATTCTCTCCCTTGATAATATTTGGAAGTAATCATTGGGAATGTACACATGCATCTTTGTATTGTTAATGAAAGTGTATCAGTAGGTAGTTAAAGTTATTTAATATACAAAAAGTTATTATTCAATGATTCTATTGATTTCCCTGTGTTCATCATATATCAAGGTAATCGGCTTAACCGAATGATTACAATAGAATGTAAAACATCAACATTCATTATTATGATTTATACATCTTGGTTTTTAAACAGTGTATAAAATATTGGTATTTACAGCTTTTATATTAGAGAATCAAAACATAAATATGTAGCGAATCGCTACAATAGCGCAAGTCACGTGACGACGATGCGCGCGCAGTCGATACGGCAAGCGCACGCGGCGATCTACCAGAGTCGTAGTAGTGTAGTGTCTCCGTCTCCGCCAACAGCACGTCTTAGTCCGGATAAGTACCTAAATAAGAATATGTCTAGATAGCTTCGTAGGGGTTGGGGAAGGGTGTAGGTTAGGGTAAATAGTAATTAAATTATGTAATTTGTTAGGTTCTCGAATGGTCGTGGTCTGGCAATCAATATCACAAATTTAGAATTCAATTTGCTAAGTCTAGTTACCTTTTTCACGAATTAGAATAAATCCATATATATATATATATTTCTCTGTTCACTATATTACTATAGATACATTAAGAACATAAAAGCTGGCTGTGATAGGCAGCTAAGGTAATATTGTGCACTTTGACGAGTTAGATTAATTCCTTGCAATAGAGTTGGGTTACGACAGGAAATGTGCGTGATTTGGCAGTGGTTAGATGAAGATATATAGGGCCCAGGTATCTTCATTTACACTCATACTACCTCACATCATCACATATAATAGCATTTCAGTAAAGTCACCATTTTATTTTCAGAGTACTAGCTTACATTATATTATATAGTAGGAATTGGTACTTAATTACAAGGGCTCACATTTAACATCTTATTTCCACTGCGCAGCTCTGTGATTTGTCCTCAGTCAGTAGTCAGATTAAAGTTATTAAATTTCATTTTCAAACCCCACCAGGGGGCAACTTTTTGGTTTATTTCACGCCTATATGCGATATATCTAAATTATATTGTATATAGGAGAGAATTAATGTTTTGAAGAGATGAAATGGTGATAATATAATAAAGTAGAGGAAGTCTTTTTATTTTTTTTACAAATGATCATCTGGATAATTTAATAGCTGTTAATATTTATTGTGCAATTCAAGGAAACGCATGAAAAAACATTTACTGATTTGGTTGAAATTAAATATTTACTAGGCTTATTTGAATTTGGGTTTGCATACATATTACAATGTAAAATATCCCCGCCGCAGCAAACCTGCGGACTAAGCGAATTTCCATTTTCCTGAATTGATTTAAAATCAAATCTATTTAAATAACATTAGGTTTAACGAGTACCTAGGTTTGCTGCTACAGTGTGAGGCTAATAAAGTAGGTTTTTTAGTAAAATATTAGTAGGTTAGTATAAAATAAATAAATTTGCAAAATTTGATAAAAATATATCCATAAACAAGCAATGTACATAATTTTACAATATTCGCCATAAGAATAACATCGGAATTTTAAATTTGCAATTTTTTAATTTTATCCGTAACCAATAACCGTATAAAACCACTTTGGTACACTAAAGTATTTGTTTTTTAAGCTAATTTTGTGTTTTGAGGGTCAAAAATTAGAAAAACCCATTTTTACCGCATATAACCCCCCATAAAACCCTGTTCTCATAGTCCGATCATGCTGGTTCGCGAACTCATTCAAGTTTATCCCACCTTACACCTTTAAACCAAATTTCATCAAAATCGGAACGCTACCGAGTAGAAGAAAGAGAGATGTTTTTTTAAAGAATTTACTATCTTTATTAATTAGCCTATATAATGAAGAACACCTACAAAGCTTCCTACAAACAATGAATGAGGATGTTAGCCGAAGTGCTACTATTTTTGTAGGAAACATTTTTGTAGGACTTAACTCATTGCAGAGGAAACCCTTCAAAGGCTGAATAAAACTGGTATTTAACATCAAAATTTTAGCCAATTTCTCCGTCGGCAGTTTTGCTGCGGCGGGGGTATTGATTAATAAAAGTGATTAATAAAAGTGCAAATAAAAATTGTTAACAGTAAGGAGTAAAGATAAAGAAACATTTATTCAACCGGTCAATCAGCTGATGCATTTACATTAAGCAAAATGAGGGGTTTGGGAACTTCCCCTCAAACCGCATAAATTTTGTGAATGGATTATAGCATAGCCAAAGTTGGTTAGCAGTTCATAATGCCTAAATGCTATCAGAAAGTCTTCTTGGACTAGATGCCTATGGACCTTATAGCACTAAAGAAGTACCAGCAATTAAATTATTTTACATGTTGTCATTGACTATTTATTTACAAAACTAAGTAGTTCATACTTCAAGTATCAGGGTGACAAATTATCGTATGAAATGATTAAATAAGAGTTGTAAGTTTCATTGCATTTTTAAAATAAGAAACGTGAATTATTTGTGGAGTTTAATAGGCATGGTAGTCCATTCCAAGTCGAAGAGTCATACAGTCAACTTCGTCGATTTTTAATGAATTTGTTTTTATATTAATATCTTCTTCTATTTGAACTTGAGTCTTCAGAAGATACCTTAGAGATGCTTGAGCCTGTAAATATAAAAAAATAAATTAAGGCATTTAGGGTACCAAGAAAAGAAATAATCTTCTTTATTTATTTTTTAAAGAGATTGGTGGCTTCTTTTTACCTTGCATTTGTCGGTCCACATGGGCTATAGAGGCCTGAGCGTGAAAGCAAGGAGGTAACCGGCACAGTAAATGGGTGAACTGTACTGATAAAAAGTAGTGGCAGATACCAATCGAACCCAGGACATCACTGCCTTGGGCCGAAAGTCCTTGGCACTACCGACTTAGCCACCGACTCTCCAAAAAAAGAAATCACTTTCAACATATACCGAATGTTGATATTATCAAATTAGTTTTGATGAATTTACCATATAGGTAATAATAAGCTATTACCGTAGGTCTCATGGTAAGACCTGGATTCAATTCAATTAATTTATTCAGAAAAAATAAACATTACACATAACTTTTTAAAATAAATAATCTGAAATCAGGACCCTGCGGAACTAAGTTTGAGTGCAGGGACCAAAAATAAAATTCAATTAAATTTCAAAAGAAAATTAAGAAGAAATTTCAAACACAAAGATCAATTGAAGAAAACAATAGAATAGCTATTTACCTTACAAGTGTAGTAAGAGCGTTTTTAAATCACGCAGGTTTGAGTGCAGGGACCGAAAATTAAATTAAATTAAATTTTGAAAGAAAATTAAGAAGAAATTTCAAACACAAAGATCAATAATTGAAGAAAACAATAGAATAGCTATTTACCTTAGAAGTGTAGTAAGAGCGTTTTTACATCACGCAGGTGAACGTTGTGCAACGAGCGGAAGCGAGTTGCATAATTTACCTAGGTGATGTAAACACGCTCTTGCGTAACGTGTAACGTACAAGATTTTACCTGACCCGAAAATATACAGGAGGTTACGAACAATATTTTTTATTATCCATTTCACTCATCTTCTAACAGTAACGTTCATTTACAAACAAAAGCTAGGTTAGGAAAATTCTTCAAAACATAACAATAAAATTCAAGCGCACAGCTGATTTCTAGCTTTGAATGTCGTTGGCTCCATAGAGGTATATTTTTTAAGTTAAGCACTCAATGTTATTTAAATGGGTTTCATTACCTCACCGAGTGAGTTTTTTTTCAACTTTACATTACTCGAGAAGTAAAGAAGTTGTATACATCACGCTTGGGATAGGGAAGTTTAACATGGCGGGTTAGGTAAAAGAATATACTTGCATACCCCATAGTACAACCATAAACAAAGCAACAAGAAAAGCCTTCCACAATAATAATAATTTGAAAATAAGTTACAGAACTAAAAATAATGCCTTTCAGATGATAAAAAACAAAATTTCTAATGAAGCATATAACAACCAAGTTAAAGATATAAACAAATCAGTCATTTATCAAATTAAATGTTCTGACTGTAATAAATACTACATTGGCCAAACAAGTCGTAGCTTTAAGAAAAAGTTCCAAGAACAAGCGTTAAAATCAGGTAACAAAATGACAATGAAATCAAATTTTGCAGAGCACCTAATCAAAACTCGACATGAATACAAAAATATAAATTAAAATTTAAAAATCCTAGAATGAAAGAAATAAAACAAAATTTAATGTCAAAGAAGATTTTCATATATACACAAATTACAAAAGATCTCCTCAAAATTTACTGAATACCATGAACATCAACAAAACAAATCCGATATTTGAAAAAATCCTACAGTTGCAATAAAACAGAAAATATTATATAATATACGCAAAATGAAACAAAGAATAAATCAAGATCCTCTAAATGTTAAGTTAGCGTAACATATGACTATTTTCTTTTTGAAGAAAAGCCTTCCTACATGGGAGTGAAGTTCCTGAACCTGCTCCCAGAGGCAATAAAAGGCCCCAGCATAAGCAGCACCGGACAACGCTTATCGGCTTGGCTTGTGGAGAGACCATTCTCATTCTACACAGTTGAGCAGTTCATGAACTGGAGAACTTCACCGATGTTCCAGTGAGGACTAAGCAACCCTCATAGTAATAACCATCACTACCAACAGTGCCTCAAAGCCCAACAACTTTATGCTATTTTATAATTAAATCTCTGTAATGTTTGACGCCTATTCTGTACTCTATGTTCAAGAATAAAGTATTCTGATTCTATATTTATTCCTTTCATTATTTTTGTATTGTATTTGTATAAAATGTAAACATTACTATGACCTAAGGGTTAAAACATGTAGTTTGTTAATTAAAAATGAATTTAAAAGGTACTAAAGTTTCTATAATGTTTTCGATTATTAATATAGTAGTAGCCCTAATCACAATCATGCTTACTATATATATACTAGCTGTACCCGCGGGCTTTGCCCCGTTTAACTTCATATGTGAGCTCGTTCGCATGGCTCAATCACGTCCTGGTTGAAGTTCGTTCGCTACGCTCACTCACCTTTAGGTTGGAGCTCGTTCGCTGCGCTCACACGAGCTGGTTAAAGTTCATTCGCTACGCTCACTCACCTTTACGGTTGGAGCTCGTTCGCTGCGCTCACTTTCCTTCAGGTTAGCTCGATCGCTACGCTAACTCGCCTCCAGTAACCAAAAAAAAAACCACTCAGTTTTCCTATTTAATGCCTAAAGAATCAGTGTACCAAATTTCAGCCTCCATTAGTTTTGCTACTATTTAATTTAAGACCATTGGCCTTGAACCACACTTGCAAATCTGTGAGGGAATTCTGAATAATTTGCTGTAAATCTAAAATGTTGTTTGATTAAAGAATGGCTGTAGCATCATCTGCATACAAAACAATTTTGAAATCAAAATTTTGTGCTAAATCGTTTATATAGATTAAAAACAGAATATGACCAAGAATTGAACCCTGGGGCATGCCCCGCGTTCCTTTCCTCCATTCAGATTTAATAACCATATAATTTTTTTTAATAACAATTCTGTGGTGTCTTGATAGGTAACACCTAACCCAAGATACTAAACTACTGCCCTTTTTCACTCATATCCGTATTCTTCAAAGTAATTAAATAAAATTGTTCCAACCCAATTAATGGCTTTTTTTTGCGGAAGAAAAACTCATCAGCCAAAACCAACATGGATTCATTAAGGGAAGGTCTACATCAAGTGCAGTTACAAATATTGTTGAATTCATCATCGACCAGCTAGAAGAACGCAAACATGCCTCAGCAGTAATTATTGACTACAGCAAGGCATTTGATTGTCTGGGTCACAAGCTAATCACAAGAAAACTAGCATCCCTTGGAATTAAAGGCAGGGCGAATGCATGATTTGCTAACTACCTTCACGGACGAACGCAGGTTGTTGAAACTCAAGAATCATCCAATGGAATGAAGAACACATACATATCAGACCCACAGCCGGTCAAGAGAGGAGTACCACAAGGGTCTGTGCTTGGCCCGGTCTTGTATGTTTATTTACAAATGACTTCCCTAGCATGATCAAGGAAAACAGTACGTCTGAATGTATCGTCACTGCCTTCTGGTGAGTGAGTCTGATCTCCCACAAAGTAAAAATTTTCACGCTTACAACACCAGGCAAGGAAACGACTTCATTCTGCCAGTACATCATACCACCCAGTACGCCAGAAAACCATCCTACACTGGCCGCAAAGTCCACAATACCCTACCACCATCACTGAAGTCACTGAAGGGAAAACCACTGAAAACACAGCTTCACAAGTGGCTGATAGACAGACCTGCTTACTCCTTGAAGGAATTCCTCGAATCCGGTCTGAATCATTAACAAGCACTAAATTTCTCATCATATTGTTAAGCACAAAAAAATAAATTCTTGTATTAGTTTTAAGTTATATTTTTGTATGACAACATTGTATTTTCTTAATGAAACTACAAATAAAGAATTACTTGATTTGATAATTTTAGGAGGAGAAGGGAGTTTGTCCAGCCTTACAAGTAAATTTTTTTTTTACCCTCATATGCTGGTACATTTTTTTTATTTGACCCTGAATTCATAAAAAAGACCTGTCAAAATTCAAGAAAATTCTTAAAGATTACATGATAAATTTAGCATTATATTCTTTTGATGAGTTTTCCACCAGCCAGAAATAGAAATAGTATTTTTATTTATGTATTTTGACACTATTCACTGTACCACCAATGTACATTAAAGACCCTTTGTACAATTGTAGTTACAACTTATTAATTAGTAATTTACTCTTAAACCCTACAAACAAAGTGTTTGATATAAAAATAAAATTTGCAATAGCTTATCTATATAAATAAAATTAGAGTTTTGTCTGTATATTTCCCAGAATTATATATTTTTAGGTTATTTTTACGTCTTATACATTAAATAAGCAGAAACGAGTCTTATCTCAATTTCTGTCTGTCTGTCTGTCTGTCTGTCCTTCCCTCTGTCTGTAACACTCAAAAAGATGGCATTTTATGCTATCTTCTCCTGGAAAACGAGAGTACCTATCAAGATCCAAGTCATTTTAATGTATTCACTGGATTGGCGAGATTGTCTTTAGCCATTAAAATATGGCCTCACTACTTTTTAAATAATATTACGAACGTTCAAAAATGTAGTTTTGTGCGATTTATGTCAAGTTTTCGTCCAATTTTTATTGCATAATCATCTATGAAATAACGAACAGCTGTTCGGATCAAGATTATTTTTTCTAGCTGTCACTGATATGTTTACAAATGTTGTTTACAAATACCGCAACCTTTTTCAATCACGTTTTGAATGCAAATCCCAACCAAGTGAGATTAAAAAAGTTTTTCTTACATAACGGATTTAATTAATCGAAAGTGCAATAATATAGTGTAATAGTGTAACCGTGTAAATGAAATTAAATAACTAGGCATCATCCAGTTCAGGAACCAGAGATTCTTTGTGTATAAATTGTTCTTGAGTTTTGATAACCAGAAAGAAGACTTGAATCAGTGTTGTATACGGCTGGGAAACTTAAATTTAATAATGATCGTCGCCAATAGCTTAGAAACATGGTTTCCACTCATTGACACGGCGCTTCAATGGCGGTTGTGTAAAGTGTAAAGTAAAAAATCAAAACTGCAGTGGGTGATTGTAACAGAGGTTTACGGATGATGCTAAACTCCCTTTTCTAATGTGTTATTTTCTGTTCCTACTATTGACTATATATATATATATATAGTCAATAGTACCTACTCACCGTGTGATGCAATCGCTGGACCATACAGCCAATAGGCCCATAGCCCATCTCTTGGGTGCGTACGCCTACCCAATTATTTATAACAACCTTTTCGACGACGATCTTTGATACCGGTACTTTTCCCTAGAATACACGGCCTACCTACTTAAGAAATAAAATTACAAACGTCCAAAAACCCAACGTTGTGTGATTTTTGTCACATTTCCTTCTAATGTTAATAGATAGGCTTTACCAATCATTGTTTAGAGAATAGGTACGTAATCTATTAAATAACAAAAAGTTGTTTGTGTGAGGTTGTTTTTTTTTCAAACTGACACCGATAAGTTTACATTAAAAGTTGTTTACAAATAAAGCAATTAATGGGAAATAACTTTGATTGCCGTTTTAAAACGTTTTACGAGAAAATCCAAAACCAAGAGATCAATAACCTCGGGACTTGACTAACTCATATAATTGGTCGGCTGTACTATAGTTCTCAACTGTGAACGTTGGTTTTTGGTACCGGTTCTATTCCTTAGAACCGTTGGTACTGTTGGTAGCAGCAAGAATCATTTTTAAGTACCAACACATCACTGTACTTTACAAATTAGTTATCGTTGGTGTTGCACCTTATTTATTATTACAGGCGTATTGAATTTAATTGATGTCTTAACTGCACAATTTTTGCTTTTTCTTTCTTGATTCCAAAATGTTAGTTTATGCTAAGAAAACGATAACGCATTTTTGTAAAACATTTATTCAGCAAACCATCATGAATTGTTTAAACGCTTTACGTTGTTTATGTATCAATAGTTCGTGGCCTATTTTGGTAATATTTACTATAAATTACCAATCGTGTATAGTACTTCATTTCATATAGTAAGCTGTCATTTCGGGTCATCATCGGTCCAAGCAAATATACATTGTTATGATGAAATTTGATGACATTAACAAATATTTCAGATACTAATTTTACAAGTACTTTGTTATGCTTAAAGCGTAGCATATTCCCTAATTAAGTTCTGTATTTTTGTGTGTATGTCTGTTAGTAACGCATTAATGTCCTTATTTCTCAGTGTTTCACGGAAAGGACAAAAGTACCTTTATAATGAAAATGTCAACACGAATTAAGTGTTAAATTGGGAGGTTGAGGTAGTACCTTAAATACTTTTAACCATTGTGGAAGGTAACTTTCAATTATAGGCCTACATTAGGGCTATGCCTCATAGATCTATAAAGCATTTTTTAGTTTAATCATTGGATTTAACATATGGACCAACACGACCCAGGTTACATTTAATTTTGAAGCATTTGTTTTGGCTTGAAACTGTCAGATACTGTATTTGCGAAGGTTTATATATAATAGTTTTGCCAGCATATCTGAAAATATGCAAACCAAATTATGTTCTTAATAAAAAGGTTTCAATAACTGACTACAATAAGATCCCCGTGCGTAGAACGGGCACACAGCTAGTAATTACAATAAACTTATAAATAACAAACCTACCTCAGATAACATTTGTTGTAGTTTTGTAACCACTACTCGGATGTCTTCAATTTCACTTATCAGCTTGACCTCGACTTCATCCCTGACAAAAAGACCAAAAATACAGACAACAAACATTTTAAATAGATGGCCCTCCTTACATATAAATGTAAGGATTAAAAGGTTTTTAATGATTATTTTCTGGTTACAAATTGTATAACCTTTGTCATCAGTGGCTAGAGAAATGTACAGGTAAGAGGAACGTGCTAAAAAAGAAGGTTGAATTCTAGTAAGCACACAATGATTTCTTATAGGTAGTAAGCTTACATTCTAAACTAGTCTTTACATTTTCAATTCTTAGAGTTCGCAATCCCTTCCTAATAATAACATTTATATGCAAGAGGTATAGATTTCCAAACAATTCGAGGGCACTCAGTAAATTAAGGTCTCCTGTCACACTCAAGCAAGCTGATTCAAATCTGAGACCAACATCAAGTTCCTCACTACCATTCTAGCAGGTTCTCACTCCTATTGGAAGATTAGTCTGATCATAGTCTTAAAAACATCTTGAAAGAAAATTAGTGTCTCCACCATCATGTATGAATTGCATTTTGTGGTTAGGTTTCTGTTTTAAGGGGGGTCAATCTCTGGTGATTTTAGTTGATTGTTGAAAGCTGCTTATGCAAATACTGTTAATACTGTTCAATGAAATGGCGACCATACATAGTAGGTATTTATTTAAGCCAAGTATGAATGAAGATGAGTGTAGGATGAGTGGCACGGTAGTCTTGTTAGTGACTAAGGCCGACATTCCTTAGACACAGCTGTTAATTAATAGCCCATAGAGCTAATGGCAACTAAGGGACCTACAGTTTATAGTGGAATCCGAAATACCCCCGCCACAGCAAACCTGCAGACTTAATTAAATTTCCATTTGCCTGAATTGATTTTAAATTAAATCTATTTAAATAACATGATGTTTAACGAGTACCTTGGTTTACTGCCACAGAGAGGCTAATAAGGTGTGTTTTTTAGTAAAATATTAGTAGCTTAGGCCTATAGTATAAAATAAATAAATTCGCCAAGTTTTATTAAAATATTTCAAAATACCCCCGCCGCAGCAAACCTGCAGACTAAGCGAATTTCCATTAGCCTGATTGGATTTACAATAAAATGTCTTTTAAAAAATATCACATTTATTTCCCATTTAAATATAAATAGTTTAACGAGTACTTAGGTTTGCTGCAACAGGAAGGGTCAATTTTATTTAGTAAAATTTTAATAGATTAGTAAGAAATGAATGTATTTTCTAAATTCGGTCAAAATATGTTCATTAACAAGCAAACTACAACAGTTGACTTATTCTCCATAAGAATAACATGGGACTTTCAAATTTACAATTTTTTGAAATTTTCTCCGTAACCATTAGGCGCACAATAACGCTTCAATATACTAAAATATTTTTTTTTTTAAGCTCTACAAAAAGGTTTAGAAAGAAATTGTAAAATGTTGTGTTTTTAGGGCCAAAATGGGAAAAAACCTATTATTACCCCATAAACCCCCGTTCCCATAGTCCGATCATGCTGGTTCGCAAACTCGTTTGAATAAATGTAGGTTTACACGTTTATACCAAATTTCATCAAAATCGGATCATTTTTGCTCGAGTTATCTTGCTAATGGACACATGTATGTATATATATATATATATACAAAATCATATGATAATTTACTTATTTATTTACATTTCTATTTACTTACCATTTATAAATAACTGTGATCATAGCCTGAGAGCCGAAACATGTTATTTATTCAATAAATTAATAATTTAAAGGGTACTAAATGTTTAAGTATTTACCTAACCCGCCATGTTAAACTTCCCTATCCCAAGCCTGACAACTTCTTTACTTCACTCGCTTGACTTTTATTGTTAGGCCTATACTTCAAAGAATTTTCCTAACCAAGCTTTTGTTTGTAAAAGAACGTTACTGTTAGAAGATGAGTGAAATGGATAATAAAAAATATTGTACGTATCCCCTTGTATATTGTCGGGTCAGGTAAAATCTTGTACGTTACATGTTACGGAGGAGCATGTTTACATCACTTAGGTGAATTACCTGCTTGATGTAAAATCGTTTTTACTACACTTGTAATGTAATTATCTATTATTTAATTTACTGCATATATATAATATATAATCTTACTAATATTATAAATGTGAAAGTTTGTGTGTTTGTTTGTTTGAAGTAGGGGTCTGTGGTAAAGAAAATTTAAGGTCGTTACGGTTCGGTACGGTACAATATTTTGTACCCTGGTTCTCGGTACAAAATCGGTATGGTACGCGGCTACCCGTATTTTGCGGTTTTCGGCTCAGAACTGTATTTAAACCATTATTTTTAACTTTAATACATTGACATTACCATGAAAATGGATAGTATCCTACATTTATGGTTTTCTAATAACAATTACTGTACCACACATTATTGAAACAAAACATTTTAGCCTACTACGGTACTAGAGGATTGTGTCAAGAAAAATCACAGTTAAGATAAAGGCTTTACCTATTTTACTCTGAGATACTTTGAATAGCCATGATAAAAGTGGTTTTAAAAATAGGATAAGACTTTTAAGGAATAAACATGTTTGAAACATTTATTGACAAGATAATTTTACACAACTGGTAAATTATTTCCAACCAACACAATGTCTAGTTGTTAAATTTTTAACCCTTTCAGACCCAGCACACTCATTTGTGTAGGTAAATTTTTAAGTCCTGACAACCTAACCAACACGATTGTGTAGGTTAGATGTTTATTTGTTTTTTTGAAGTTTCTGGATCTTTCTGTTGCTCAGACCTGTACGCATCGATTGTGTAGGTTATGCTTATTGAGTATAACTGCAATAAGCATTTTAAACTCAAATGCCAACCCCGTACGAAGGACGGGTACTCTGCTAGTATTATATATTATATATATAGATATGTCCGTGAATGCGATAAACTTGGGGAACTTTTGTCAGATTTTGATGAAATTTGGTTTGAAGGTATAAGGCAATATAAACTTGAATGAGCCCCCGAATCAGCATGATCAGACCAGGGGAACAGGGTTTTACATGGGGTAAAAATTGGGTTTTCTCATTTTTGCCCCTCAAAACACAAAATTTCCCAATTTCTCTCTAGACCATTTTTTCGTACGGATATTGGTTACAGAGAAATTAAAAAAATAGCAATTTTAAAATTCCCATGTTATTCTTGTGTGGAGAATATTGTAAAATGTTGTAGTTTGCTTGTTTATGGAAATATTTTGATCAAACTTGGCAAATTTAATTTTTATATTAAGCTACTAATATTTTACGTAAAAACACACTTTATAGCCTCCCTGTAGCCTAAAACCTAGGTACTCGTTAAACTTAATGTTACTTAAATATATTTAATTTAAAATTATTTCAGGCAAATGGAAATTCGCTTAGTCTGCAGATTTGCTGCGGCGGGGGTATTTATTAATGATATTAAAATAAAAACATTTATAACATGTAACAGAATAAACTCTTCTCTAAAAATTCATACAAAAACCAAACGAACATAAGATTTTATCAAGAAAAAGGATACTGTTAAGCCTGAGACAGATTTTACAAAAAAGAACAGAAATTTGATTCACGGGACCGAATTGATTGTCTTAAAATACTTTTATACACACTTAAAAAATCCTTTTTTTAAATACTTTTTACAGTTTGTCAAGACAAACTAATATGTAATAACTGTTAAGGTAACGAGTAAAGTGGTCCGAGGGTGGGGGTTGTACGAAACAACAGTAGCGCACAATTGAACCAACGGCAAGTCAGGGAATCTCTACACTTTTGTTGTGCTTGTTTTTTAAATTAACGTGGTAAAACCACTGTACTTTTAACATGTGTAATGTATCTAACATGTGCATCTAGTCTGCAGGTTTGCTGCAGTGGAGAACTTACTTACAGTCTCATTACTAGTAGTAGACCGTAATAGGTACTTCTCTATTGGTGCCTTTGAAGAAGGGCAAAGGTAAAAGCTGCAGTTACAGAACCACATAAACAAGTATAGTCATTGTGTTCTATGTTCTGGCATTGGGCCCGGCTGTCGTCACTTACCTGCAGAGTTCTATTCCCCGCCTTTGTGCCCGATTGCCCAGTCGAGTATGGACCAATGCCATGAAGCTCTCCTTGTCTGCTATAGCCTTCTCTAGCCGAGTAATCTCTCGTGTCATCTCATTTGCCTGCCTCATTGTCTGGAAAGGATATTTAATATAAAAAGTTGGCTATAAGCTTATATGCAAGTGTACCAAAAATCATATGAATTGATAATATTAATTTAAATAAAGATAACACTAGTGTACCTGTTGCTCGAATTCGAGCAATTGCGAAGCATTACAGGCGACTCACGAAGATTATGGAAATACTCACGATTTACACAACAGTTAGATATAATCAAAATCTTTTGTAAATATCTTATCTTTTCTCAAAAAGCTGATCTTGTTTTTTAGTGTTTCTACAAATTTGTCCCTCTCATAGCCGCATAACTGTCTATAATAACAATTGAAAATGAAAAAAAAAACATTTCTTTTCTTCTACTTGGTTGTGTTCTATGACTTTTTCTATGTTTCCATTGTTTGCAAATCGGTTATTTCAATGATTGCTCAAGAAATGTAGCATTTTCAGTTTTATTTTTAGCCTATATCAAATTGTCCAGGATTTCTCGCTTTTTTCCATTGTAATAATTTAACCAACCCAAGTTTCATCTACAGATGCAATACGCCAAAGAATATCAAGAGTTACTGTGATATTAGGATTTTCCACTGATTTGGTAATAGAACATTTTATTGCAAAACATGACACGATGCAGAAGAAAATCCAATTTAAAATCAGAAAAACCCATTGCAAATACTGTAGGCTACTTCATTTTGACAAATTCAATAAATCACAATTTAAATATTAACAGCTGTTTCATTAAAAAGTAGGGTAGAATTATGCATATGGTCGTAATGTAAACAAATCTGAAGAGGCAACTTTAAAGGCTTCTGGGGCAGAGCCCCATGGGAATTTACCTCGTTCCTCTTTTGATGGCTCATCTACAGACCAAGACCTTTCTTTAGAGACCCCTACCAAGTTTCTACGCCAAGCCGTTCTCTCAAATTAGCTGTGACAAAAACCCCGTTTTCCTCCATAAGAATAACATGGGATGGGAATTTAAAGGCCACTGGGGCAGAGCCCCAAGGGAATTCACCATGTTTCTCTTTTGATGGCTCATCTACAGACCAAGACCTTTCTTTAGACACCTCTACCGAGTTTCTACACCCAGCCGTTCTCTCAAAATAGCTATGACAAAGAAAAAGGTTTCAAATTAATATATAGATTTTTCTCAATAAAAGACATGATCTTGATGTTTCCTGTGTGATTACCGTATTGCTAGGAACCAATTGATTTAAGGAAATTCTACTTTATTTTGGTTCTTATAAAACAATTAATTTCTTTTAGCATTTTGGTAAAATCTATATATTAATAGGCAAGCATGTTTCTTTAAAACCTTTTTTCTCAGCTCTTGTGCATTGTAGGGAAAATCTACGCATACGAAGCTATTTTACGCTAAAGAAAGCTATTTTCCTGTAGGTGTGCGGTGTGCAGAATCCCTTTATAAATTAAAATAGGCTCAAAGATAAGCACAACAAATTAATTTTAAATTAATAAAAATTAACAAGGGCTTTATGGGTTGCCATGCTGGTGAAGAAATAACAACGAAATATAAACAGAAAATCAAAACAAATGTAAGAAACTCAAATTACATGTTTTATTTACAGCGTGTGGTGAAAAATAAAGAAGTCTATACAGTGCAATTGGATTTTTTAGCTAGAAGCGGTTAAGCTGTGGTGGAATACCTTTGATTGAAGATGAACCTTTTTAGTGATATCATGTGTTCATTACATGTAAAATTTTGGGGTTAAATCAAAACAAACAAACTGGCATAATATATTCTTGGAATTTGACAATTATTGTTAAATATACTTACTCTAATAAAATCTTACTTTAATAATACTTACTTTAATAAAATCACTTTGTCATTAGATAATATTTACTGTGAAATAGAGACATGATTACTAATTCCAAATCAATTAATGAATAAATTGTTATTTAATATTGCCTTCAAATTAAGTTATGGTTACTTTTAAAATAATTAATTTAACTTGAGCAGATATTAAAATATTGAATCTTCTTGCAAAATTAATTTTGATCATTATATTAATAGAATAATGTAGTCGCCGTGACTGGGATCCACATGATAAGCTGTTGGGACATAATGATGATTTACGATTCAGAAAACGTTATACGATAGGCCAAGGAAGCAAGATTTGAGTTTGGTTTATAAAATGCAGTAGCATAAATACTGAATGTTTTCTAATAAATCAGACAATGACATAATAAATTAATTTATTTAATCTTAAATGAAATTTCTTTCGTACAACATTGTCCCTAATTGACAACATACCAGTTTTTTATTTTACCTCAAAAATTGACATGGGAACATTGAACACATGATCGCACCATCGATGTATATAACCTAACACCTTAGACATTCCATCCCTATGTTAAAGTTGTAGCCAGGTTTTTAATAAAATTTGTCTTAGTTGATGTGAGCCACCGACAGATTGCGCTGATCTTAATTACTGATTTCTGTTGACTACACGATGGTTTTTACCAAGTCAAACTGATGGACCGACTTATTATGAGCTATAGCAACTGTAATGACCCATCAACTATGAAAGTAACAAAAACTAAGGTAGAAAATAGAATTTTAGACACTAGCACATTCTGTGACTATGGCTCACATAACTAGGTACATTCTTTGTTAGTAAAAATTGGTGACAGCTGATCCATATAAATGGGATGTCTTCTTCTCTAACACCATCGATGTTACTACTATCTATTATTATCTATATATCTAATTCCGTAATCCCAAAATTATACAATGAAATTGTGAGCAAACGGGAGGCCGTAGAAAGCTGGGAGAGGTCTTATTTTAAAAGTCTGGGCATGAAATTTTGGGAAAAATTATTCATTTTTCTTAATTATGCACCCACAGGTTGTTACGGAATATAATAATTCACATTTAAATAGCATGGGAATCTAATTTTATGTCTTTTTATTTAGTGTAAACACAGCTGTGATTAAATAAATTGAAAAAATTATAACCACATAGTCCAAGCAAACTAAACAAACTTACATAGGGATCGTTAAAAAAATTGCAAGAAAACGTTTTATGGTTTTATTTTGTAGAGTTGGGTTTGCAGAATGACATACTAAAAGTTGCCAAAAATCGGTGCACGAGAAAACCACTAAAATCACAATTTAAAATGGCGGCTTTTTCCAACATTGGGCAAATTAAAAAAAAACATATTTCACATGCATTTGTTATGCACATTTTTTGAGATATTGACTTGGGACCACCGCCTGTATTTATTGGGTGGTTAGTACTTCATTTTTATAGGGAACATGTTTTTGGCCGCCATCTTGGATCCGCCATATTGGACATAGATATTTTTTTTCAATATAATGATAGTGTTGTGACACATCATTATCAACTACATTTTTACACTGATTTCAATGCCGAAATCCGTTTTTAAATATCTTTATTCATTTAGAAGATATATTCAAACGAAAACTCTTCACCATACATTTCTTATGGACGTTTTGTAGTTTGATAATTGTTTTAAAATTATTTTTCTTATATCTCCAGTTCTTATTGACGCTTGTAGTTCGTTCTAGGCTTAAAATATTCAGTAATGTAAGGGCTTTCATTTGAGCTCTTGATCATTAAAATCAGACGAGTTAAAGACCAGCTACGAACCTCAGAACAATATTAAATTTAACTTTTTAGAAATATATTTTTATTAAAAGGTTTATAACTCGGGTTGTTAATACGACACAAAGTTATTTTTGGTCTCAAATTACTCAGTAAATGTTTGGCTTTGATTTTATTGATCATTAAACAAAATCTGACAATTTTAAAATGAGTCATGGACCATAATTTAACATTAAAATGTATTTATATTGAAATTTGTCTTTAGTTAAAGACGTATATCCCCAATTCTAAATAACTCCCAAAACTCTTTATAGTCTTAAATAATTCGCCAAATTATTGACTTTTATTTAAGCTATGGATTACTTTCCGGGAGTTATTAGGGTTGGGGATATATGTCCTCAACTAAAGACAAATTTCAAAATAAATACATTTTAATGTAAAATTAAGAACCATGACTCATTTTAAAATTGTCAGATTTTGTTTAGTGATTAATAAAATCAAAGCTAAACATTCACTGAGTAATTTGAGACCAGAAAGAACTTGGTGACGTATTAACAACCCGAGTTATAAATCTTTTAATAAAAATATATTTCTAAGAAGTTAAATTTAATATTAATCTGAGGTTCGTAGCTGGTCTTTAACTCGTCTGATTTTAATGATCAAGAGCTCAAATGAAAGCCCTTACATTACTGAATATTTTAAGCCTAGAACGAACTACAAGCGTCAATAAGAACTGGAGATATAAGAAAAATAATTTTAAAACAATTATCAAACTACAAAACGTCCATAAGAAATGTATGGTGAAGAGTTTTCGTTTGAATATATCTTCTAAATGAATAAAGATATTTAAAAACGGATTTCGGCATTGAAATCAGTGTAAAAATGTAGTTGATAATGATGTGTCACAACACTATCATTATATTGAAAAAAAATATCTATGTCCAATATGGCGGATCCAAGATGGCGGCCAAAAACATGTTCCCTATAAAAATGAAGTACTAACCACCCAATAAATACAGGCGGTGGTCCCAAGTCAATATCTCAAAAAATGTGCATAACAAATGCATGTGAAATATGTTTTTTTTTAATTTGCCCAATGTTGGAAAAAGCCGCCATTTTAAATTGTGATTTTAGTGGTTTTCTCGTGCACCGATTTTTGGCAACTTTTAGTATGTCATTCTGCAAATCCAACTCTACAAAATAAAACCATAAAACGTTTTCTTGCAATTTTTTTAAGGTCATATCCTATATTTCTCCGACTAACACCTGAATGTGCATTAATTTGTTACTAGGTGAACCTGTGCGAATTCGCACGAATAATAAATTAGGATACGTCATTAGAAGTTGCGTCGTTGGTCTTGAGCTCGATCATTGGCTATACGCATTCTAAGTTCTTTTTGCTGTTCAGTAGGAGTGTTTTGCAGGACGGAGCTC